TCCCCCCCCCCCCCCCCCCCCCCCCGAGAACAGAGCTAGAGATGGTATCCTGTGATCCCAAATAAAGAATGATCGATTGGTAGGAAAACGGGGTGGAGGATTTTCCAGCAGAGTTTTATTGGGATTTTCCAAGGACTAGACCATGGTCTGCATTATCTACACAAAGGGCTACTGGCAAGGAATGGAGTGGACCTCACAAGAACTGGAAAGCACCGCTTCACAACACAGTCCTTTCAGCACTTCCCAGAAGGGTTCACACCCATAAAATCCTTTTGTTCCTCACCATCTGCAAGGAATATAAATCTATATAACTCATCAAATTTGCACATGACACTAAGCTGTCAGGAATAGCCAACACCCCAAAAGACAAGCACAGGATCCAAGCAGACTTGAACAATGGGCCCTATCCAATAACATGGACTGGAAGGTGGAGAAAAGCAAGGTTTTACACCTAGGCAGGAAAAGCCAAAGGTACAAGTAGATATTAGGCGAAATCTGGCTCAAAAACAGCGAGAGGGACCTTGGAGTGGATGGTCACTTAAACAAGAGCCAGCCACGTGCGGCAGCAGCCAGAAAAGCTAATACAACCCTTGGTTATAAAAACAGAGGCATAAACTCAAAATCATGTGAAGTATTAGTACTGCTTTATAAATCCTTAGGAAAACCAACCTGGAATACTGTATCCAGTTTTGGAAAAAGTGCAAAGAGCAACGAAGATGATTAAAAGCCTGGAGGCAGAAACGTATGAAAAACAGTTGCCGGAATTGGGTTTGGCCAGTCTAGGTAAAAGGAGGACCAGGGGTGACCTGATAGCAGTACTCCAGTATTTGAGAGTCTACCACGAAGAACTTATTTCCAAAGCATCAAAGGGCAGGACACGAAACCATGGATGGAAACTAATCAAGAAGGGAAGTAATCGGGAAGGAAGGAGAAACTTCAGCGAGGACAGTGAATCAGTGGAACAGAAGTTGCCTTCAGAAGTTGTGAGTGCTTCATCATTCGAGGTTTTTAAGAAGGGACTGGACAGCCATCTGTCAGAAATAGTATAGGGTCTCTTGTTTGAGCAGGGGGCTGGACTGGAGGACCTCTAAGGTCCCATCCAGCTCTATTCTGATTCTAATGGGAAAAACATATGCCGAAGGTCTTAGAACCATTTTCCAATACCATGGAGCAGCTGGCCACAAATTCTATTTTGAAAAGAACCCTTTCAATATTATTTGAAATGTGCCAACTGATTGAAATGATGCCTCATTGCAGCTGCCTGCATTTCTTGCCATCAGAAAGCAGAAGGAGCTCTAATAACAATTGTATAGTAGCCGACACAGAAAGGTTGGGAATGCTACCAGGTATGAAATAAATTCTGTGGTGTGGCAGATACACAAAAATTGAAGATACAGAAATGCAAACAAACAAAATTAGCATTGGAGTTACGTTATATTCTCAATCCGAACTATGAACAATTTGACTAACAGTTGAAAATTATCTGATTTTTTTTTTAATACTCAGCATTTCAGAATAATTGAACAGTTGTACCGAGGAAGATTTTTAACTGTGGTAGAAATTCTATTCTAATGAAGTCGAGGGGGCCATACATTTACCAAACATGTCTTCTCTAGCTTTTCTTGACAATTTATCTTTTGTTGATGCATGACGACCACGGCTGTGATGAAATATCAAGACCCAGGATGCAAACCATGTAGTTTACAGCACCTGATGGAAACGTGTGTGACTCCATCATCGCTTGTTATCAGATAAGTCATTTTCTGCTTAATCTAGTTCTGCCATCTGTCTTAATGATGTTGCACAGAGTTGGATGCTGTTTAATAGTTCCCACTTTGTTCTCCTTCACTGTTCCCGCTGTTTTTATGATATTTTTACAGTGTTTTTTTATAGTTTGCGGTGCTTTTGTCCCTTTATTTGGTAATAGTGATTTTGGGTTTGTACAATGGAAGTTTTCTTGTTATGGCTTTACCCTCGATGGCAGTTTGCACAGAATATTTTAAAGAAATAATAAAAATAAAAAAGAAGCGACCAAAAAAAAAAAAAACACTTCGTGGAGAATGAAAAAATGGGATCTAGTTGCAGCCTGATTGTGTAATGTGATTGTGAGAAATGGTGGGCAGGTTGGGAGGAACCCCGAGGGGCTTCGCAGCTGCCTCCCTCCGTCCTGATTCAAAGCCTCAGGAAAGGAAGCGGAGGCCAGGAGCAAATTCATCCCGATGGCCCAGACCAGCCATCATCGCACTGAGATTTCATACGAGGTCCTGAATGCCAGCAGCACCATAAATACAAACGTGACCAAAATTCTTGTGGGATTCACAAACTTGTGAAACTTATGCCACCTTAAATATGTTTTGCTTGAATGAAGGTGGCTGGAGTTGATGTAAAGATGGGATGTGAAGGGTAAGGAAGGTGACCTTGGCAGAGATAAAGCGAGTCCTTGACCGAAGCAATAAGGAGAAAAACGTGGCTGAAGTTCCGCTAGAGACAAGCATCCTTTGGAAGGGCTCAGCCAGACCCCTCCCTAATCCATAATTCAGGAGGGACAACCCAGTCAGCCCCGCCGGGTCAATAAAAGTGACCTTAGTCTTCTACAGTTTCCCCGCTGGTGGGGCTGCCAAGCCAACGACAGCCCAGAAGGCAGGCAAGGAAGAGAAGGTGGTGCAGAGCTACCAGAAACACACCCACCCAGGAGCCTTAAGGTTCTCTCCGCGCTTCCTGTGCACATTGTGGTACAGTGTGACGGGGGGGGGGGCAGATTGGCTGGGAAACCAGTGGGACACCGTGAAGGACATCCACCTCAAGGAAGGAAGAGCATCGGTGAAACAGCTCAAGATGTTGGCCATCGTCTTGAAAGCTCTTCACGGCGAGAGTCCAGGGAGCATCTCACTCCGACGGGAGCGGTCCACCCCACCCATGCCGGCAGAGGAGACGGGGAATTCCAGCCGGTGGGCTCCAGAGGGGCCTTCTCTGCCGTCACTCCTGCCCCCAGAATGAGGGCCAGAGCCCTGACCCTCTGCCAGGGCCCGAAGACCTGGCTCTGCCACTTGGCCGGGCCTTCAGTGGGTGAGCATCACCTTGGTGGTTGATAAGATTAACTTTGTGATGGCGAACTATGGCACATGTGTGCCGGAAGTGGCATGCAGAGCCATCTCCCTGGGCATGCCAGCTGTCACCCATTGCTCTTCTGAGCTGCAGCGTGCACATGTGCGCTAGCCAGCTGGTCGTGCACACAGGAGCGCTGGAAACCGGAAACTCAGCTTCCCAGTGCACACACGCTCTTCCCGTTTCCAGTGCTGCCCCGAACATGCTCCCATTTGGGATGAATTACAGATCCCTCCTCCTCCCTCCTCCCTCCCTCCCCATCTTTTAGTTAAAGCTGACCATTTGCATTTGCAGAGTCTTCTATTCGTGTTATATACATGTTTTTGTATAAGCTTATTCCTTTTAACGTTGTAAGCTGCCTACAGTCTCTTTGGGGGTGAGACGAGCGGCAAACAAACGGAATGATTAATAAATGAGGAACGGGCGAGGGTTGGCAAAGCTGCTCCCCATGGGAAGAAATTGGCCTACAAGAAAAAGGGGTGGTGGGTGACCAACATGCATCGATTCCATGATGAGTTTGAGGCTCCACATTGTCCAATTTTTTCCCCCCCTGTTGCTCCTTAAAATCTTCATGAAAGTGAAAAGGAGGCCCCTGCAGGCATGCAGCAGAGCACGCTTCAGGGACACATCTTTGTGTGTGTGTGTGTGTGTGTGTGTGTGTGTGTGTGTGTGTGTGTGTGTGTGTGTGTGTTACGAACAGTCCCTGAAGATGCTTCTGGAGTTTTTTTGTCTCCTACTGGGAGGAAAATCTGCAGTGTCCTTGAATGCTGCCAGATGAAAAATCTCAAGTTAAACAGGAAAATTGTTGCAAATTAAGGTTCAGCTGTACTTCTCCCCCCCCCCCCCGCCCTCCCTTCAGCTGGGAGGGTCAGCTTGGATCTTCAGCCCCTCCCTTGGCAGAGGGTCGCCCCATGGAGGCTGCTGTGCCACCATGAACCTTCCTGAACCAGCTGGGACGGGCGACATTCGCAGTAATTCACATCTTGGCTCGATGACTGGAATGAGGCCCGGGAATTACAGTTCAGTTCGTACAAAATGCAAGTTGCTAAAGGGTTAACTAGCGCAAAATACAGAGATTAGGCGAAGCCTCTTCTGAAATCCTCCTGCCGGTTCTGAATGCTTTTGCCAAGCATGATTTTACATCTCTCTTTCTCTTCAGCGTCCTAAATGCTACGGGGCTGCTTCTGCCAGAAGGAACCTGTCCAGCTGTTAACCTCTGCAGGAAAAACTCTCCTTCCGGCACCTCCCACGGTGCGCCAAGGACGCCGAGCATCCGAGGCTCCTGCAAGCAGCCCCCCCAGGCCCCCTGCCCGCCCTCAGCCAGGCCTCCAACGAAGAGGATCGTTTGGATGTATGGTTGCCCTGTTTTATTTTGTTTTAAATGTTATTGCCGTGGCTTTCTTGGGTGCTCTCACAATTAAGTAGCAGGATAAGAGAGCTGGAAGGGACCTTGGAGGTCCCCTAGTCCAACCCCTGGTCAGGCAGGGAACCCCAGACCGTTCCAGACAAGGGGCTGCCCAGCCTCTCCTCAAAAGCCTCCGTGTTGGGAGTGCAGCTAGTCCTCAACTTACGACCACCACTGAGCCCAAAATTTTTATTGTTAAGTGAGTTTTGCCCCACTTTATGACCTTTCTGGCCTCGGTTGTTAAATGAATCACTGCAACTGTTCAGTTAGTAACCTGGTTGTTGAGTAGATCTGGCTTCTCCATTGTCTTTGATCCCAAAAAGGGATCCCATGACAGCAACGGTCATAAATAGGAGTCAGTCGACAAGCATTTAAATTCAGGTCAGTCAGGAGAGGCAGTGAAGGTTGTAACTGTGAAGAACGGTCACAGGTCCCTTTTTTCAGAGCCGATGTAACTTTGAACGGTCCCTAAATGAATTGTTGTAAGTCAAGGACTACCTGTACTCAACTCTTGGAGGCAAGTTGTGTTCACCGGTTAGTTGCTTTCCTGGCCAGGAAGTTCCGCCTCCTTAATTCCAGGTTGCTTCTCGTCCTGCCCTCAGGGGGGGCTTTGGCCCCTCCCTCTTCTTTGGGGCAGCCCCCCAAATACCGGGAGAGGCTCTCCGGTCCCCCTGGTCCTTGTCTCCAGCGATAAAGAGGGTGGCCCCGTCTGGTGTCATGGACAGAAACCCACCGGCCTGGTCGTCCTATATTCCAACTCCCTCAGGCTGCTCAGCCCTGGAAATCAGCGTTTCTCTTTTTCTGAGCCAAGACACACACACAGAGCTTGCAATGCTTATTTTGGGGAGTTTCAGACTTGAAATTGAGGAATTATATTGTAGCTTTACATATCCCATCACACGGTCTGTATCTCTGCCTTAAAATAAAACGATCATGCCACAATGTGATTTCCAAACTCTCTTAAAAATAACTCTATGCTAGAACTGAAACTAAACAAAATGGACAAATGGTGGGGGAAAAAAGAGAATAAACCATTCGTTAATCTGCCAGCTGTGGTTCTAATTCAGAGGATGGAAGACCCACCGAGCACCCACGTTTCACCCACCAATGGAGTCTGAGCTGTACTGCAAAATTTGAGGGGCCCCGGGGTCTTGGAAGGTCTGGGGGCCAGGATGCAGCACGTCTTGGGAAAGGACCCAACCCGACAAGCTCACCTTCTCTGCAGCTGGCCCCAGGCCTTGGGGCAGGCTTCTTGGGCTGGAGGCTGGAGGCCTTCAGGGCAGGGGGAGTTGGCCCGGTGCTGTTGGCAGGTTTACTGGAGAGCTTTGCTCCTCCTTCTTGGATCCTGGACACCAGCCTTCCCACGCCCACCTCTGCACAGGGCTCCCCAGCTCCACGGCTCTCTGGGCTGGGCCTTCCTGGGTCAGCTTCTCCGGGCCTCTGCAGTCGGCTGCGCTGGAGGGGCTTCGGCACGTCGGGGCTGAGGGCAGCAACGATGCCATTTGGGGCCAGGCCACAGCTGTCCTCCTCTGCAGGGGGAGCCCAAGAGAACAGACGGTCAATTCTGACGGCATGCGGGCAAGTCAGAAATGGAGGGAACCCTCCGCAAAGTCCACCCTGGCCGACCTACACTCCCCACGGAGGTCATGGCCTCCAGTTGGTAGCAAAGTCCTCGGTTTTTCACTTGGTGTCTCTGTATCTTATTAAACTCTCCATCCACCCCTCCCCTCCCGGGCCTGATTGCATCTGGTATTTCCTACCGAACCTGGACAGCGACTCTTCAGCTCTTCGGCTGGCCACCTGAGAGGGGAAAGCCAAGAATTCTGGCCACCAGAGGCGTTTTCTGAGCCTACAGATTGTCCAGGAACAGCCCGTTCCCAGAAGGAGACGGCCAAGTCAGCAAGAAGATTTTGGGGGGGAGGGGGCCCTAAAAGAATATCCGCCTTTCAATCCCCTAAAATAACCCCCCACCCCAAAAAAAACCCCACCTCCTCTACCTCAATATTGCCATGGAACTAGATTTCCCTGTTAGCGTTCAAAAGGGCTCCTTACATATTTCATCCAAATATATACATCTCATCATTAGTATTAGCATAAGGAACAGCAAGCATGACTGTAATGAACAGGGAATGTATTTGTAGGGCTTGGCGGCTTCCAGGCCTTGACCGTGCTTTCACGGGGCTCTCGGGTGACGGCACTACGTCCTCTGCACCGTCAGCGCAAAGATTTGGAGGAGGTAGCTTTCAGAAGCCGCCGCCAGAAGGAAGGAGGCATCGGTAAGTTCACGTCCATTTTTGCCCAATTCAGTCGGGCTGAAGGGAGAGCCGTCACGCTTCCAAGTAGCTGCATCCCCTCGACCCTTGGCTGCCCCAGCCAGCAGGATCAGAAGGGGCACTGACTTCCATTACCCTCGGAGCCTCTGCCCCCAGAGAGTAGGTGTTGCAAGGCCCAACTCCTGCACATGGGATGTTTAAGATGCTTGTGTGTGCTGGCTCTCTTTCCTCTTCCGCTAGCATAACTGCAGCGGAAACCCCAATGCTGGCCGACAGCATGATTACACACCTCCCCAATCCCCCGGAGGACAACATTCTCCTACAACTTCAAACTTCTGAAGGCGCTAATGGGCCTTTCAAATACTTGAGTGTTGAAGAACGGAGCGTCCGGGTTTGGTCAGGAAAAGAGGCCCAGATTGTCCTTTTACCCAGTGACAATTCAAGTGGTCCCTGGCTGCTGCTGTACCTCCATGCTGAAGAATCCCAGAAGAACAGAACAAACCTCACACCGAGTGCTGGAAATGAACCTTCAGTTGAATCCTGGAGCCCAGATGCCAGGATCTCCTTGCTCCATCAAGGGCAACCCAAAACAACAGAGGAGTCCAGGCATTCCATTTCCCATCTCATCGTTGCCCCAAACCCAAAGTCTAGGTAAGCCAGCGAGATCAGAGTCCTCTGGCCTTAGGGTGAAATTAAGGCAGCAACAGTTTGGATCTGCCGCGTGAGAAAACAGAGTTCATGACTGCTTCAAAGTTCCAAAAACTTTTTGTCAGGTAGACTGGAGTGACTGTTTCCCTTTCAAAAACGGTTGCAAGTTAACCCCAGGTATAATTTCTCTTCTGTTACTCTAAAAACGCCACCCAGGAGATGTAATGGCGCTCACCCCTTGACCCAACACCATCAGAACCCGATCCTAACGAAGACCCAACCGCTGCTGATGGAAGGACTTTGCGCTACGAGGGACCCACCTTCGCTTTCTTCCACAGAACCTCCGAAGAAGAGGGGTCTCTCTCTCAGGGGGCGCTTGGAAATGGTGATGGGCTTGTGCCTTCGGGTGGCGACCCGCGGGGGTGGCACGGGGGGTGCAGCGTTGTCTTCAGGAGGCCCAGAATAGATCTGAAAGGGAGAAAGTAGGAAGAAGCAGGTGACTTTAACCCTTCTCCTGCTCTCTTGTGCAGCAGAGAGATTACAAGCTACGACATATCATTTGAGTGTGTGTGTGTGTGTGTGTGAGAGAGAGAGAGAGAGACAGAGACAGAGACAGAGACTACATCCAATGAGGTGATAACTGTTTCATTGACTGAATGGGATGGCCTTAGAAGCAATAGTTTTCTGAAAGCGTCTGATGGATCAGTAAGAAGGTTCATCCAGCTTGGGCTCCTGCAGGGCCAACCCCCAAGGTGGCCCCTAACAAGGACACAGAGCTACAGCCCATTGTTGACCCCAACAACTACCCTCACAAATGCTCTTAACCCCCCTTGAAAGCCATCTTAATCAGCACACTTCTTGCAACTGGAATTCTTTAATGTTGGTATTGTGAACCCTAACATCACAGGAGGCATGACATTTCTATCACTTTCCCCACCTCAGGCTTGATTTCATAAATATCCACAGTCATGTCCAATTTCCTACTTTGCAGTGGCACCAGAGCCCCCGCCGACACCTCCCAGCTGGAAGCCACAAATTCAAACCATAACAGTTTACGTTGGGCAAGTTACTTTGCACAGAAATTCTTTTTGATTCTTGGGATGAGTTCCACAACCTGCTATGATCTTGGCCACTGAGACCGTACATAAGGTAGGTTGCAACTCCGACTGTGAGAGAACTGAATTCGGAGAGGAGAGCTAGCAAACTGGGACGCTGTCTCAAACCTTCTGAACTGCCTCTCTGGAAGGGACACAGAAATTTTCCCCTTTGATTGCAGCTCCCGTGCTCTCCCACGCATCATACTTAACGAAGTAGCTGAGGATCGTGGAACTCGAGCGCTGACACATTTGGAAGGCACAAGATTGGAGAGCTCCGTCAAAAAGTTGAGTTCCCTGCAGATTGCCGAAGGTGGCCTTAGGCGACCCTTCCCACTCTACCCTGGTGAGACAGGAGTCTGCGGTGGTAGGTATCCTGCTGCAATCCGGTGTGCCCGACAGCTCCTGCCAATTCTCAGGATGAAGGCACCACTTCACCTGCTGAACCTCTGCCACATTACGCAGCGGTGAGACTGCAACCCAGTCAGGAAAAAGAGATGCCAGTGGCTGCCCAAAAGGAAACTCTTTAAAACTCCAGGAAGTTCTAGCCAGGAAGAACCAACCCCCCCCCCCACTTTCTCCCCTCTTTTTAGGAAAGGCGTTTGAGTCTTTGTCAGCTGGCCTCTCTCACACACCTTGAAAACACAGCCTTTATAATAACAAAAAAGACTGCAGATGAACAAGTCATCCAGGCAGATGACACCAAAAAAACATAATTGTTGTTAAACTAGGCAAAAAAAAGTGCATTTATTACATCTGAAGTGACATCCAAGCTAAAATGGCTGTCAACAAAATATTTCAATTATACATTATTCAATTATACATTACTAGCACTCTGCAGTCTGATGAAGTTATGACGAACAGTTTAAAAAAACACATGAAAAACACTTTTATTTGCAGAAAGCAGCATTTGGAATTGGTATATTTTTGTTTACTTTTTTCCAGTATTTAAACCCCCTTATGCATTTGATGTTCAGGTAGAACATCAAGGCTCAGTTTGCCTCTCCCTCCCTCTCCTCCTCTTCTGCGTCTGAGTCAGTATTGGTTTCTGACAACCGTCCATGGGATTTTCTCAGCCCATTTTCTTTGGGAAGAGACCTGCCTCCCCCGAGGGCTGAGAGAGAAGGGCTACTGGCCCAAAGCCATCCATCAGGCTTTGTGCTCCAACAGGACTCTTGACTGCATGGTCTCCTGGTTTCTAATCAGGAGTACCTTTAATCACAATGTTGAGGGGACTCTCTAGTTTGGCATTTTTATTTTTATTTTATTTAAGTCAGTGGACCAAGTCCCCGCAGCTTCCTTGGCAAGATTCCAGGCGTGGTTTGCCATTGCCTTCTCCTTCCTGGGGCCGAGAGAGAGTGGCTGGCCCAAGGCTTCCCAGCTGGCTTTGTGCCTAAGGCAGGATTAGAGCTCAGGATTCCGATCCTGGCTTCTGGCGCTTTGAGCCTTCCCCCAACGGCTCCCCTAATCTGGCGCTGTACGCATTAAGCGTTTCGGTTGCTCTCCGTACGGCGCTTCCCTTTGGCACTGCACAAGTGGGAGGATCCATGGTTTGTCCTTTCCCTCAAAATGTTGACCTTACAAATTAGGATAGAAACGTATTGTTGGATGGTTTGTTGATACATTTAGAAGTAGCCATAATCTGGGAAATGCATCAAAATGACATTAAAGTTGTGTTCCAGGTTAGTGAGAAAGACTTTTACAATACCAGATTGCTTACTTTTGTCGGCCAACTTATAATTTGTCTTAAAAACAAATAAAATGGTACCCAGGAACTTATTCCAATTTGGATGTCTGACCTTTCAGTAAAAGAAAGAGGCAAAACTTCCACCGCATTCTGCTCTAATTTAAACTGGAGAAGTAAAAAAATATATTGTGTAAACGTGATGTGATGATTTTTAAAACCTTCTCTCACAAAAAGAAATATGGCATCTTCTGCTTTAATTTCTCCAAACTAAGATATATTTTTTTCCAAAGCAATTTGCAAGAGTTTGTGGTCCAGCCACATTAATTAAGTACATATGTTTGTGACTTTCAGCGGAGTTGCTCCTGATTGGTACAGAATACTTATTCTATACAATAACAATGTGGGGTAGACAGCATCACCACCAGATGCATTTGTAACTGGATGACCAACCACACCCAGTGTGCATGGTTCTCTCCACAGAACAACCCGTAGGTTTGGGGAAGCCTGCCGTGGGGTACCCAATATTTGGCCCAAGACTCCTCAACAACTTCATCGATGATTTAGATGACAGGGTAGAAGGGGAACTCATCAAATTTGCAGGTGGCATCAGGCTGGGGAAAATAGCTAAGATTTCGAAGATAGGATCAATATCCAGGACAGACTTGAGTATTGGACCCCACCCAGGAATTTAGTAATGAGAAAAGTAACGTTATAAACTTAGGCAAGAAACACCCAGAATCACAGGGACAGAATAGGTCAACGGTATTTACTGTGGGAGGGATCTTGGAGTCCTAAGTGGGAGCCAGCCGTGTGCTGCAGCTGCCAAAAAAGCTAATGCAGCCCTAAGTTGTATCACTATACGAATAGCGTTAAGATCACGAGACATGAAAGGGCCGCTTTATGCTGCACTAGTGAGGCCACACTTCTGGTCACCATGATACCAAAAATACGCTAAGGAAAAGCTAAGGGAATTTAGTATGCCTGGCCTAACAAAAAGAAGAAATTAGGGGGTGATATGATAGCTGCCCTCCAGTACATGAGGGGTTGCCACCAAAGAAATGGTGGTTGACTCCAGGGGTGGGATTCAAATTTCTTAACAACCAGTTCTGTGGGCGTGGCCTAATTTGTGGGTGTGGCTTATGGTCACGTGACGGGGTGGGAGTAGCTTGCAGACTGGGTGTGGCTAGGTGGTCATGTGACTGGAGAGGGCAGGGCAGGTGGCCATGTGACTGGCAAACCAAATGTAAGTGGTCCTTGCTTAATGGCCAGTTGCTTAGCAAGTGTTTTTTGCCAGTTTCCAAAACCAGGGGAGCCCTGGAGAGGCCTGGGCAGGTGGCCATGTGAATGGCGAACCAAAGTTAAGGGGTCCTCACTTAATGGCCAGGTCCTCGCTTAGTGGCCAGTTGCTTAGCAAGTGTTCTTTGCCAGTTTCCAAGGCTTGCGGGACCCTGGAGAGGGCAAGGCAAGGCGCGGGCAGCTACGAGGAGCTACAAGGAGTTTATTATTTTGTGCGAGTAGTGGCACAAAAATCTTTCCTAGCCAAGCCTAATTGCCTAGACCAACAGTCCCTAATGGAATGCTCTCTCTATAGCAGAGAGAGAGAAGCCAGGGGAAGCCATGTTTGGTTGCCTAACCTTTTTAGAATGCAGCTTAAAAATATACTAAAGCTTTTTACAGCCTTATGCAGATATATATAGTATAAAAAGAAGATAATAATACAAAATCATCTAAGAAATTAAATTAAGAATGGAATTGATAGGCACATTCAAAGAGCAATACTGAATTCTTTTTCTGAAATTTATTCCTCAGTTTAAAAAACTGGAATATATGAATTCAGTATTGGGCTCTGCTAGTGTAGCTATTCAAGAGGATGTACTGTCAAGGTTAGCAAAAAATGATAAAGCAACATATAGATTTAAATTTTAAAACCAGAAATATTTTTGTCGGTACCCACATAAATAAAGGGAGTACAACACATATTTAATGTTACACGTGTTAACAGCGGCTAGAATTATGTTTGCACAACAGTGGAAAAACGAAGAGATCCCCATAGATGAAAATGAAATTAAAAAATTACAATGTGCAGAAATGGATAGAGATAAGATGTAGAAATTAGGCGGAGAATGATCCTTGCTATGTATAAATTAAATACAGAAGGTTGATAATTATAAACATGTTAATATAATTAACAAAATTAGAAATAAGCCAATCCAAAGAAATTTAAATAATTTTTCCGTTACACTGCTGTACTTATTGATATTTAAGTATCAATAGGTAACAGCAGTGCAACAAAACAATTTTCATTTATGAAATATTTTATAATACTTTATAATAGAATTACAGAGGTAAGGTAAAGTAAGGATATATTTTTATAGAATAGATTGGTGATGATGAAATGAACATTATAAAGTGAAGTAAAAATGGTGATTTGCTCGCATAAAATGATGTAATATTAGTAAGGTATAGTAAGTAATTAATAATAGTAATAATATAAATATATATAGTGGATTTATAAGGATTAATGCAAATTGGAAGGGAAAGATTGCAGAGATTGTGCACAAGTGATTTGTATCAACTGACACACTGGATGTAACTGAGGTTGGTTTATATTTTGTTTGTTTTGTTTGTTTAAAAAAAACAACTTTTATTTTAAAAAAATTCCATTTATGCATGCAGGTTTTGGTTAC